ATCTGCCTCGTTGCTGCCTTTTTATAGCCTTAATCTGCCTCTAAAATGCAGCCACCATACCCCCCTAATCTTAATTAGGATTAGGTTAAGAGAGGATGTGGGCTATGGGCTGATAAAGCCCACATGGGCTGAATATGGGCCATCAGCCCAACATTCATCAGCACCGTCGACCCGCTCAAGGAGCCGCCCATCATCACCGCCAACACCATCCTGTCTATCCTGTCGGTTGACTATCCCGTCGACAAGGTCAGCTGCTACGTGTCCGACGACGGCGCGTCGATGCTGACCTTCGACACCATGTCGGAGACCGCCGAGTTCGCCAGGCGGTGGGTGCCGTTCTGCAAGAAGCACAGCATTGAGCCTCGGACTCCCGAGTTCTACTTCTCGCAGAAGATAGCCTACTTGAAGGATAAGGTGCAGTCCAGCTTCGTCAAGGAGAGAAGGGCCATGAAGGTAGGATACAGCTGGATTGATTTGATCCACCTAACCAGGTTGAGATGTCTGATGGAATTGAAATGGTCCAGCGAGAGTACGACGAGTTCAAGGTGAGGATCAATGCACTGGTGAGATCGATAGAACACTAAAGAGTAAAAAATTGGGAATAGACATGTAATAGCAATCCTTGAGATAACGGTATACGATGAGTAGGTTCGAGTGTTGGCAGTGCTAAGGTAATAACTGCGATAAGACTCGCGTGATGTCAGTTGTCTCATATGATGTCTCACGCCTCTGTTGACCCGATGAGACACCCGGTCAAAACGGACCGGAACACCTACCAATGCACAATAACACCCTGCTCAGGCTCGATCCCTCATGCCACGCCAATGGCAACGTCAAACACCACGATCCTGTTCCCTGCGGACAGACACAACGATAATTCTTACTATAAAAACCTTCACGCTCTGAATGAGCAAGAGAGGAGGACGGAGATAAAAAAAACCCTTTCACCATCCACTAACTTGATCGTCGGAGGGGTCGGGCCGAGCTCCCCGACTCGACCTTTGTGCAGGTGCGAAGGCCGAAGTCTCCCGCTAAATGCCCGGGTGAGGAGTCCCTTCTCGGAGGAAACGACGACCCCATCCCGATCTGACCAACGCAATCAGCCACCTCAGCAGGCTCGAAGAACGTCCCAGGAAGATCCTTCATCATCCGGACCTGAATCAAACCGCGTCGGTCCCGAGGCCACGGCTTAAAGCTGTTTACACTAACAGCACCATTCTTGTTGAATCTGGACTGTGATCACTACAGCAAGGCCGTCAGGGAAGCCATGTGTTTCCTTATGGACCCTCAGTTGGGCAAGAAACTCTGCTACGTCCAGTTCCCTCAGAGGTTCGACGGAATCGATCGCCATGATCGATATGCCAATCGCAATGTGGTCTTCTTTGATGTAATTTACTGATCTCTAGATCTGCCTCACATTATGTTGTCGCCCTTTCATTTTTGTTCGTCACTGTTAGCACAGGATGTGATGAGCAAAACGCTTGGTCCATGTTGATCAACATGAAAGGCCTGGATGGCATCCAAGGCCCGGTGTACGTCGGAACCGGCTGTGTCTTCAATCGACAAGCATTATACGGCTACGAAAAGCCGAAGTCCGAGAAGAGGCGGAAGATGACCTGCGACTGCTGGCCTTCATGGTGCTGTTGCTGCTGCTGCGCCGGCGGCTCCGGAAGATCCAAGGCCAAGAAAGGAGAGAAGAAGGGATTCCTCGGCCTGTACCGGAAGAAGAGCAAGAAGACGGTTGCGGTGAACAAGAAAGGCTACACCAAGAGACGGCTCGACTTGGAGGACATAGAGGAGGGATTGGAGGGCTACGAGGAGCTGGAGAAGTCGTCGCTCACGTCGCAGAAGAACTACGAGAAGCGGTTCGGGCAGTCGCCGGTGTTCATCGCGTCGACCCTCATGGACGAAGGGGGAATGCCGAAGGGTATCAACTCCGCCGGCCTTATCAAGGAGGCCATCCACGTAATCAGCTGCGGATACGAAGAGAAGACAGAGTGGGGCAAGGAGGTAATCTGATGCTTTGAGTCTTCCATCTCTGCACTATGCTTCCTACTTGCCTCCGAGTAATGGCGTCACTCTTCTCCCCTCGTCTTCTAGATTGGGTGGATATATGGTTCGGTGACGGAGGACATATTGACGGGCTCAAGATGCATTGCCGAGGCTGGAAGTCGGTGTACTGCATCCCCGAGAGGGCGGCGTTCAAAGGTTCTGCTCCCATCAACCTGTCGGACCGGCTTCACCAGGTGCTGCGTTGGGCGCTGGGCTCGGTGGAGATCTTCTTAAGCCGGCACTGCCCTCTGTGGTACGGCTACGGCGGCAACCTGAAATTGCTGGAGAGGTTCGCGTACACCAACACCATCGTGTACCCGTTCACGTCGATCCCCCTCCTCGCCTACTGCACCATTCCGGCCATCTGCCTCCTCACCGGGAAATTCATCATCCCTATTGTAAGATTCTAACATGGCTCCGCGGTAGCAGCAACCCAAACTCTACATTTAGCTCTGCCTACCTCATGCATGTCACCGCCATCTGTGAACAGATAGAGAACATCGCGAGCGTATGGTTCCTCTCCCTCTTCCTGTCCATCATCGCCACCGGAATCCTCGAGCTCCGATGGAGCGGCGTGACCATCCAGGACTGGTGGCGTAACGAGCAGTTCTGGGTCATCGGCGGCGTGTCCGCGCACCTCTTCGCGGTCTTCCAAGGCCTCCTCAAGGTCCTCGGCGGCGTCGACACCAACTTCACCGTCACCGCCAAGGCTGGCGAAGACTCAGAATTTGGGGAGCTCTACCTCTTCAAGTGGACCACCCTTCTCATCCCTCCCACCACGCTGATCATCCTTAACATGGTGGGGGCGGTTGCCGGCGTGTCCGACGCCATCAACAACGGCTACGGCTCCTGGAGGCCTCTGTTCGGGAAGCTCTTCTTTTCCTTCTGGGTCATCGTCCATCTGTATCCGTTCTTGAAGGGGTTGATGGGAAGGCAGAACAGAACTCCCACCATCGTCGTGCTCTGGTCCATTTTGCTTGCTTCCATCTTCTCGCTGGTCTGGGTCAGGATCGATCCCTTCTTGCCCAAGCAGCAAGGACCAGTTCTCAAGCAGTGTGGAGTGGAGTGCTAGTCTCCATTTCCATCTCATGTTTTGGTTGTGCGGTGTGTGGTTTTTAGGAGTCCATTTCCAATTGAGATATGATACAAAAACATCTCATGTTTTGTTTGATGATGATTTATCAAGTGATGTTATTAAGCTCATCAAATTCACCTCAAATGCCTCTGCTTCCCTAAAGCTAGAAAGACAGATATTGCTCTCATAAAATAATTGTCATGGAGGATGTTGAATACAATACACTACCAGTTGCCATCATGAGGCTCAAAATAATCAACCATCAAGACATTACTGCAAAGAACAGATAATGGAAAATGGATCATGTTGCATGTATCTGACCGGACCAATAAGAGGAATGCTATATACCACAACTAAGTCTTAAATTAAGTGCATTCATAGTACAGAGCATTTGCAGACTATTAGGATCTATCAAAGGTATTCGGACAAATTATAGAACTGAATCTTGAGGAGCATCATTGAACCCCGACTCAACAGAAGAGTTTGCTACATCATCTCTTTCACGACTGCAAATTACAAGGGCGATTGACCCCTGTAACCCGCGAGAATGATCTGTTAAGAATTACAATAAGCTTCCACAAGATTTTCTACGGTTTATCTCATCACCTCTAAACATTATGGATCATTCGACTACACCTACCTTTGGATCTTTCCAACTTTTTACAAGATAAAGAATGTGACAACCTCTGCCATTGCATCCCCACTAACATCCTGGGCTGAGATAGTTGGAGAAGGCACCGAAGAAACAGGTAAATCTTCTATCTAGGAGCCGAGTTCTTCCCATTCATACCGACCAGGGAGTGGGTGGTCATTCACAGGATCAAAGTTGTACCTAGAAATAAGAAAAGACAACAAGATAATATGAGGTGTATGGAACATCGAAAATAAATTTGTAAGCTGCTACTGTCATCAGAAGTATGACCGGAGTTTTAGAACAATCTTCTATAATAGACATGATGATGGCACGCACTCATCAGCATGTTCTTTTGCTAGTTGAATTCCAAGGTATATGCATTCACTAATTTAGGAATAGGGAAGAAGTTGAAGAATATATATACTTCTCAATGAATATTTGCTGCTGGAGTCTCTCTAGCCCAACGAAAAACTCTTCCATCTCATGAGTAGTAGGAATGTCTTGGCAAATAGGATTCTGCATTCTCCACTTAGCTGCAGTTGAGTAGGTAGATCTTGTTGTAGAACCTGGTGTCCCCATTGTTCCGGAATCCCTTGTCAAACCACTCGGTGTAGTCTCTCTGACATGCCAATAACCAACAAACAGCACATTAGTACCATATATTTCTCGAGGATGATTTAAACAAGATTCATAAGGTCTTCTAAGCATAAATAATTTGGGATATTAAATAAAGCCAGAGCACCAAAAAGAAACTTTAATAAACTAAATAAACTAGCTCCAATCTTTAGAATAAAGATGAGCATGAAGTGGTTCCTTTGCTTTTACTCCAAAGAATAACATCATAGTAAGAGCTCAACACCATTCATGCGGCAAATGTGCAAAAAATCTAAACAAGGACTCTAAATGCTTTAAAAAGAAAAATTGAAGTCCCCGACAAAGAATACATTGCACTGTTAATGACACCTATAGTTGTTTGAAGACATATGCCCCTAAAGTTCAAATCAAAATCTATCAGAAACCACACTCCTTAGGTGCCAAGGAAGCCAAAAAAGTGATACATAGAGAAAGCTATAATTTTTAGATATGACATACATGTAAAACCCAGTAGCCAACACATGTTACTATCGAGGAGGTGGCTCCCCTCGTAGGAGTTCCACTTATCATAATGACTATGGCTTAGTTTGCCAGTAGTAAAATTCAGTAAAGGGGAAGAAGAAGCCAATACAATTGAAACAAGTCAACGAAAACAAGACTTATACAGTAACAAAATTCTAGCTCTAGGATTGTTCTACAAAATTTCAAAGGCAAGTAACAAGATTGAGCCTTAATGAAATTTCACTTGGTCAATTTTGAAGCAAAGATATGAAAGCCAAGTTAATATAAAAGATAATAAAGAGAACTTTTGCAAACCTCCATTCAAATCAACTACAAAAGTTGCTCAATGTAGAAAAGACGAATTAAAGGGATTTTTCTGAAAATAAAGCAACATAATCTCTAAAGGTTAAAACCTAGTATTAAGTAGGAAGAGTGAGATGTTTAGGATAGCAACTATCATAAGAGAGATCCATGCAAAGAATGATTGTACGCTTCCAATGTCATTTTTTCTGTGCGTATATAATCATAAGAAACTAATTATACTGATTATCAAATCCATATTTTAGCTCTAAAATGACTTGTATCTTTGAAACCCTTCTAAATGTCCGAAGGGGACTCAAAGAATCAGATTACAATTGAAATTGGAATCTAAATTTTGCAATAAAGCTTCTGTTCTCCAGTAATAAAAGCACAAAATACAAACATTCAGGGAAGAGAAGACACTAAAATAATCGACAAAGGAAGTAACAGCAACTAAAAACACTAGTTTTTTATAAACCCTAACTAGAACAAGATTCGACAGATCCTCCGTTTCATTAATCTCAACCACAAAGCTCTAGTTTTTGTAGAGGAGTCTCCAGTAAAAACCTACCTTTCCCTCGATTCAGGCTCGAGATCGTTCTCTTCTAACGAGACCTCCACATACGGCGGCGCATCCTCGTCGTTTTCTGAACCGCTCCTCATCCGTGCGGAACTCAGCGACCCCGAATTCGATGTCGGAACACGGCCAGCCTTCTGCGAGCAAAGCTTAGAGCTCGGGTTGGATTTGGGGGTCACCTTCGCTGGGTCCCTGGGCTTGGAGGTCGGTGGCTTCTCGAGGCGGCGGCTGCGGAGCTCGAGGTAGGAAAGGGAGGAGTCCCGCGCTGCGGCGGCGGCCGCCATGGCCCGGGCGCGGGTGCAGACGCCGAGGGAGGGCTGGTGGGTGGCGCCCTCCATGACCGTCAGCTCGCCGGAGAACTTGGGTTTCCTCATGTACCTCCCCATTCGTATGTTGTCTTCCCCCTCAACTCTCTGTTCCTTGACTCCCCACGAGCGAGGAGGAATGGAAGGGAAGACCGTGGAGGGAATCAAACGAGGAAAGAGGAAGTTTTGGGAAGCTGAAGAGAATGGCGGAGAAGAGGGAAGGGAAGGGAAGAGAAGGGTGGGGGTTTTGAAAGGTAGTGGGGAAGGAAGGAACGACAAAGGCTTTGGTATTTGGGATATGCGGAGTATATTCATAGGCTTAGTCTTAGGAGAAATGAAATGGACAGGTAAACGATCAATAGAAAAGTGACATGATTTAATGATCCTTTCATGCTTAAAATATGATTATGAATTTAATACGGTTTCATAGGTCTCACAAGGAAAGCATTCATCCCATCCACTTTGGTTATACTTTGTTTATAATGTGATACAAAAGATGCTATTTTTCTTATAGCAAAATATGGATTTCTATTTTAGGAAGGCTCTTTTTTTTGCTTAATTATTTTTATTTAAAGCCACAATTGCTTGGCCTTATTACACTGATTCTGCCTAAAAAAATACATTTGATAAATTTAGACAAACAATTAAAATTAAGAGAAAGTGGAATCAACAATTTTAGATGAACTCTCTATAAATTTCATGTGAAGTCTACTCCATTAGTTTCTTTTATAGGTGTCTCTACAAATTTCAATGGATCAATTATATTATTATCAACTTGAGTTGAAATATTTAGTCCAGTTAATATCTCGGTGATTGTGTTTATGATCATAGATCAGAGAAGAGAGAACAAAAAATAAAACACACAACTATCTATGTATTACAACAAAATCATAAAGTTCTTAATATGCTCATTATTTGATCGTTGATTGAAACTTCGACTGATGTTTTTACATTAGATAAAATATTAACTATATTTTATATTATATATGACCTAAATTGCAACATAAGCAGCATTTTACTTGAGTTCTTTTTATCAATGTCAGTGAAAGAAATATTTAAGAGGTCAACATTTAAATGGGTGTATTATTTTTTCCAGCTTATAATTTTTATGAATTAATATTCGATTTTCAAACTTTATATAAGGATAAATATAATTACGTAAAAAAAAACCTAAATTGATCGGATAGGGATCAGAAAAATTCTTTTTGAAAAAGAAAAATAAAATAAAATTCAAGTGGAAACTCCCGCCCATTTCAGGAGCAGCGGAATGAGCTTCCCGCCAAAAATTCTCTCCGCAATACATGGCTCCTTTTTTTTTCCTTTTTTTTTTGGCTGCGATATAAGGAAAATAAATTTCTAGACATCGATAAATCGCGGCGCGAGTCCCGTCGTCCGTCTCCTCGGTCTCCGCGGGCGCTGCCCTTCGTACCGCGCGTGGGGCCTCTGCGATGCTACAGGTCCGGCCACAGGGCCCCATCTCACAGCTGGATTCCCTCGCCGATTCACCCCCACCCATGTTCATTCTATCGTCATTCCGCCAATTTCTATTTTATTTTCTCGAACGCTATGAATGCTTGTGATGTGTTCTTACCATATATAACTAGTAATAGCTCTGATTATGATTTGGTTCGAATCGAAATCGAATGGGTAAACAAATCAGAAACGATAGTTATAATTTTAAATCTATGATTCTAATTTCAAATCAATGGTAACGATTTTAATTGGATTAAATATGGTAAAAAAAGTAAAGATAAAATATAAATAGGGTTTATGGTATTTTTATCTTAATAGAGTTATTTAATTTGATTAAAAATTTATAATTTATTCTTTTTTTATCAAATTTTTTTATGTTATTATACTCATTATAGTTAAACATCTATTTTTTTTATATCTTCGGGATATTCGAGTTGGTTAGTATATTATTTATTGTATAAGTGATAAATATCATATTTTAGTATTATACATATCATTTAATTAATATATTTTTAATTAAAAAATAGCTTTTCTTTACTTCTCTCATGTTTCTTATTTTATTGTTAAGAGATTGTCACTGTCTCCTCTATTGATCATCTAAAATGTCCTCCTCGCTCACCATAGTTGTTGTGATGATGGCAGATGGTTCCACCCTTCTTCTAAAGTGAGAGTTAGTGATCAACAGGCTGTCTTCTACTCTCTCCATTTTCGGCGAACTCAGATACATCACATACAGTAGATAAGATCTGTAAGCTGTGAGCGTGGAATGGACACGGACACTAAAAACAGCTGAAAAGTTGAACATCTTTTTCAAACAAGGTGTTGGCCAGTCTACCAGATAGAACAGTATTCATTGGCAGAAGGATCCAACTCCCGTCAGCTTTGAGTTGGCTTGGCAGGAACAAGCCAAGATAAATAAGATGAAAACAGACCTCCATTAGCTTCATGCATCTCCCATCTCAGCCTGCTTGCTTGTGATCTTTGGACATGCGAATGAATACCGACGAAGCTTTGTATTTGAAATGTAATAATATCATGTTCTCATTCCCACCATGGCCATCGGACATCAGAAGAGAACAAAGAAGCATCTTGATGAGCAAAAGTAGCTTTTGATATCATTGGAATAGGATGCAGCCTTCATAATTGATGTGTGGCCTCTGCAGTCTTTGGTTCTCTCTCCAGCTTTCGGCAGACACAAGGGGATGGATGCTCATGATCTTGGGTTCGATGCAGCAGGTGGGGTCAGATGGAATTGATGGTTTTACGAATCTATCAGGCACCACAAGTTTTGGCTTTTCTTCCTCTGAAATCCAATCCGATGTGCTTCGGCATCGGAGACACCAACAACTTGTACTTGCAAGTCTTAACACTCCCTCCCTGCATCAGATGCTAGTTTTTCTTTATCTTGGAAGGAATCATGCATGGTGCTGGAACTGGTTCTTCAGCTTTCTTCTACTGGTTTTCTGAGAGAAAGCTGTGTTGCTATTGCCCGCTTCCAACCTTCACGGTTTTCAATCGTATTCCCGCAGAATATGGGGAAGCATACGGCCAACGTTTTCTCGTTCGCCCAGGTTTGAACACTCTCTCTGAAAGTTGATGACCATCCCGGTGGTGTATCTTCGAGGCTCTTAAAAGGGCTCCCACAAGATGAATCACATCATACCAATGGCAAGCTGACTTAATAAACTCTTACTCCGTTCATCCTCTTCTAAACGGTGTGTGCAGTATTAATCATCATCTCTAATCCAATGATCATAAAATATCCTACATTATAATCTCGTTTATATTCTGTATTTTATAAACTTGGTATAAAAAAAAGAGAATAAAAATGATCGGAGATTTATAAACCATTGATTTATCTACTTTTAATCATGAGTAAATATCTTTATCAATACTCTTTACGAGAGTCAATAGCTCATGATTTTTCTTCGAGCATCATTATGATAAATCAATATTTGATTACTATTAATGTGATTCCGTAGGCTCATAAGATAAGGAATATCTAAAAAGCTTGTAAACTTTTAGTTACTTAATTAAATATTCTTATCAAAACTTTTTAATACAATCTCATGTTATCTTAAGACAAACTCGAAACCAAACATTTGTCGTGAATAAACATCCACATCAACCAATCAAAATATAACTTAACATAATTAATTATAATTATATTATTTTTTTATTAGTCTCCTAAGAAAAAACTCTCAAGATTTCACCTTTAATTATTGGATATAAAAACAAGATAAAGCTTAGAATCATCATTTAAGGCAAAATTATATTCCTCCTATGAAATTGATCAGAATATTTAATTAAATATATATTTGGAGGAAAGAAATTAAAGGGAAGAAAAATATTAATCATCAAATCGAATGAATTAGGACTCTACTTATATAGGCCAAAAGTGTTGCACATGAAATACTATTGTCTTATACCAAAAACATATTCCTCTGTTAAAATAGTTTTTATAACAACCAAAAAATATTTTAAATAAGTTTTATGTTCTTAAAGAAATTTATAGAAGAGAGAGCAGTGCAGTTCAAGTTTGACCGTTCTCGTCAGGGCTTCTGTGATTGTTTCTTCGCTGTGAGCAGCAGCACAGTCCACCGACCGCGTTGCACCATCCTCTCTGGAGATTCGCGCCAGCATCTGATGGACGGTCCTCTTTTGCCTATTCTTGTCCGGCCCAAGTGAGTTGACTGGGTCTGACCCGGTCCACCGACCCAGTGGTATCCAGAAGCTTCTCTACGCTGCCTCCCTTGGCTGTCCCGCCACGTTTCCCGGACCGAGTCGGAGGGTTTCTGGAAGCTCCAACAACCGCGCGCTATGGGCCACCGCCTCTCGATACAATATCTCGCATAAAGAATTCTTGCAAATGGGTTAAGAGATTGCCACGTCATGTAAAGTTTAATTACGGGCCCATCATCCGAACGCCTCTCACGGGATCTTTCCTGCAACGAATCCTTTCCGGGACCGTCCAAATACGGTTTCCCAGCGCGAGCCGAGGGGAAACGGGCCCTTTAAAAAGGCCCGCTCCTCCCATTGCATCCCTGTTCTCTTTGTTGCGTCTCCTCCTTTCGCGCAGGTATTCTGTTCCTTCCCTTTCTTCTTTTCCTTTTCGTTTGAACGATCCTCTTTCCTCTTTGATTGGTTGATTTCTTCGACGACGCTTATCAGTGCATATCCTGTTCAAAGTTATACTGAATCAAAGGGGAAATTTTATGTGGTTCCTCGTATTATGTACGACATTTTCTTTCTTCTGTACTAATTTTTCGTCGGATTTGTGCTGCTGTTTCGGTTGTCTTGCTTCCTGACATCGAGTAAAGTCGGAGTATTTGGTGCATCTTTTTTGGCTTCCTTAATCTGGTTATAATTCTAGGGTTTAATAATATTGTTAGAGGTTCATAAATCGAAGAATAGATGATGACGATTTGGTTCTCTTCCTTCTGATTCTTTCAGATTTGGTTGAATTTGAAGCTGTACAGCATATACCCGGGGATTTTAGGAATATGGCGGGTTTAAGGGTTTGTTGCAGGCTTTCGTCAATTCCTCCTATTAGAGGGAAGTAGTGCTACTCTTGATCTATCTTTTAAAGTTCGTTGCTTTTTTGCGGCAGGATGGGTTTAAGGTCAAGTTACATGTGTACGATCTTAGCCAAGGACTTGCTAGGCAGCTTTCGGCGACATTTTTGGGAAAAGCCATTGAAGCTGTTTGGTAAGATTCTTTCTCTGACTTGTGTTTGTTGGATCTCAGTTTGGATATAAACATCAATTTTTGTTTTGCTTGTTGCTGGAAATTGAATTACATTACATGCCAACGAAAATGACCGACAGCTCTGAAGCCTTAAGAACGATAATTGCAGTTGTTAAGAGTGAGTAGTAGCATGCTTGTTATGCCAACTAAAATCGCAGAGTGTTTATTGAGCTGCACATAGCTCATGCATGACTTAGTGGACTGTATTAGTTTGTGTCTTAGATGGAAACAGTTCACACGAATATAACTAATGTATGTTGCTGTAAGTTTGTAGCTGATTAGCAGTACTTGTAAAAGATATATTAATTTTTCAGAGAAGTACCTCATTGGATTGATGTAAGGCTCTTGGTCTATATGATTATATAACTTATTGGGCCAAAACAACTATCAATGTACAGACTATGCTAATTAGGTTGGATTGAGTGACATCTATAGCTTAAGGTGGTGCTTGTGCTATTCTTCCTGAGTTCTCTCACATTTCATCTGTAATTTAAGAAGAATAAGGCATTAGCTTCTGGGTTGATGTTGGTTAGAATGTTACTTGATAAGAGATGTCCTGCGCAGAAGGTCCGCACTGATTCATGGTTTGAGGATGGTCAATATATGTGGCTGCTGCCGTAACCCAATCTTGGTCCCCAGAGTCTAAGAAGCAACCCTAGTACGGGATCAAGGCTTCCCTTCTTGAGGACAAGCTTGAATATTATCATAATTTGTTTTGCGGTTTCAATCCTATGATGATTTAAGATATTTGGATCTCAGTCTGAGAAAAGAAGGAAAGAGGAAGTAATCTAATAGTTCTAGCTACTGTTGGTCGCTATTCATTTGTTAACATCATCTAAGTGAACTAAAGAGGGGCGCAGTGGTCATAAAAGACTGGGATGTATATTGAATTTTAATGAAAGGTATCTTGGTCTTTTTGGTCCAACGGACTTGATTTTCATTTCCTTCCCTCTCAAGTAGTCTTTCTGCAATGTGTCCTACAACAGGCACACTGGTCTCGTAGTCTACGGAAAGGAATACTACTTCTCAGGAGGCATTCAACACGATCCGGCCGGAAAGACCCCCTATGGAAATCCAGTCCGGATTGTGGATCTGGGGGTGACACATGTACCTGAGGAAGTCTTCGAGGAGTACCTGCAGGAGATCAGTCCACGATATACGGGTGCCACCTACAGCCTTCTCAGTCACAATTGCAACAACTTTAGCAATGAGGTAGCACAGTTCCTTGTGGACACCACAATCCCAGACTACATCCTCCGGTTACCCAATGAAGTCATGAGCAGCCCAATGGGAGCATTGATCCGTGAGATATCTCATCTTTACTTCCTTTTTTTGTATCTTCCATCTATTATGCCCTAGAGAACTTTAAAATCTTCTCATTCTTTTACCATATTCAAAAGTCCTAGAAGTCGCTAATGGATCTATAACACAAAGAAAACAGTTACGATAAAACTATACTTGATATGGAAAGATAAGACCAGGGTGATGATTTGATAATTGTAGATCACCAAATCCATTGTGTCATATCTCAATTTCAAGATTATAAGCGGCTTTAGAAAGATCACTTAACAAGTGATATTGGGTAAATTCAGAGACCAATGACAATTGTGCTTGTTTGCAGTTCCTATGATTCAGCAACTAGAAACAACTTTGAAGTCGGGCACTGTACCTCAAGCCCCTCAGTTTGCTCCTGCCGCTGCCGTCGCTGCGATGCCTGCTGCACCTAGTGCTGTTACTTCAAGCCCAACCACGACGGATGCCTCTGTACAAGCCACCGGCAAAGATGTCAATTCTGGGATTTCACCAGCTAAGGTTCCTGACAACGGAAATGTGGTTCCACCTGCTGTTCAACCAGCTTCAGCAAGAGGGGAGGAGAATTCTCTGGTGGCAGGTGATCCCCTGGGCGAGGCTCGCAACATAGTCCAGGAAGAGATCGCAAGGGAATTTACTGCGATCATGGCAACTGGGACACTTCGTGCAAGCGAGGCTGCTGCCCTGGCGGCGAGGAGGGTTATGGAAAGACATGGACTGGTAAATGCGCCAATGCAGCGAGGATAGGATTGAAGACCGACTTCACCATTCTTTCAAAGTCACTGTTATCGCTTCAAGACACTTCCAAATGGAACCAACTCATGGCTATGACATGTTCGTCCACTAAAATATCTACGTATATCTGACCTGCAACTTAATTGCAATGATGACTCCGATTATGACGTGTTTCATTTGCGTAGTTATAGAAGAGTCATTGCACGTCATTGCTTTTGGGGTGGCTTTCCAATGCAAGACTTTTGCTAACAGGGATGTCGAGCTTATCTTGCATGATCTTAATAACTGCTTCTGTTCTATGACATCCATTTCAGTTGCGTTCTCGAGCTACACTTCTGTACCAAGACATGTTCTTATGTAAGGATTAGTGGGAATACTGTCTACGCCATAATTTTAGAGGACGCACTGCCTTTGGAAACTTATTTGCTAGTCAAACTGTGTCTGCATCTTAGTAGATACAACACTGCGATTCGTCAATTGCTTATTCAACAGCTACAAGAATACATCGGAAGCCCAGAATCCGAAAAAGGCAGGTCACAGCAGAAATAAGCAAAACAGAGACCGTGAAACATCTATCTATCTGGATCAACTTTGAAAGACATAAATTGAATATAAAAATTAACAGTAGTGCATTTGGGACACTGATTGAGGGGGAGAAAAAAAAAGCTGAACTCTAAAAATATTGCACTACATCCCTAAATTACAAATTTTATTACCATCCAAGAAGCAATTCCCAACCCATTGCTTGGGTTCAGGAAAAGTTGTAAAAAACTACTACCCTTTATGAACAAGAACAAGGTAAGTTATGCAACCTGCCTGCCTGCCTTATGTCCAATCAACAATCACAGTGACAAACGGTTTTACCAAAACAACTATTTTTTGGTGCGATTTTCCGGACACCAGTGTCGTGAACCATTCTCATGTTGAGGGCTGATATCAGTACCCTGTCCATCATATTTATCTTTGGGGCCTCGAGAATTGCCTTTGGAGGGGACAAAGCCCACTGCATTGCCCAGATGGCAAGCGGTCGCATGTAGATCAATGACCGGTAGTGCCCATCTGTTGTCCATCCTTCTGGAGTTTGGAACCAGTACCTGCATGACCACAAAATCTATGAACACTCGGCTGCATCGATAGACATATACCACTAGTATTTAAGAGGATAAAAAATTAAGCAAATATATAATAATAATGATGGAATCAGTGCTGAAAGAGACACATTTAAGTAAAATGCTTGGATATATATAAAAAGGACACTTCTTGCAAGCTGGAGACGGTATTTGAATCCATCTAATTACGATGGCTGCGGGTATAAACTTATTATTAGGTTTGTGCTTATTGGTAGACATCCCATAATTTCTGATTTTACATTACTCAAAACAAGCACATATGCCTACTGTGAGAATTAAATACTGGAGAGGATACCACAAAAAAGATTGATACAGGGGACTTACCCGAATCCTTCTTCTGACCAACCTGTGATGAAAATCCCCTCAGCGGTAGCAAAAGCTTGATGCTCCATTCCATGAAGAAGCATGGTAGCTGCCAAACTGTATGTGACACCAGTCCATATTTCACGCGATTGCATGCAACATTCATCGACCTTTCCATTTGGGTTCATCCCATTGACCGCCCCCATGCGCCCTCCTCTCACCTTCATCACATTAAATTCAAATATTTTCTGAAGAGTATTTCTAGTTTTAATCTCGTCAAACAGTGGGGGCAACCCTGAAGAAGCAGTGTACCACTGCCCTGCAAGTTGATCAGCCTGTATGGATCGGCTGTTGCTACTGCTTCCACTGTCATAATTGAAATAAGACCCATTCCACAGCTTAGATTCAAATACCGGTTTGGCTTTCAAAAATTTGATCTTAAATTTTTCAACATAAGCACAGTCTCCAAGACGCTGTGCCATTGCCGCTGCAGCTTGGAGTGCAGCGAGCCATAGACATCCACAGTAAGCACTGATACCATGAACTGTCCATGCATCATATGTCTGATCAGGGAATCCATCATTCTCAACGAGTCCATCACCATCACGATCAAACTGTTCCATATAATCCATAGCAGCACAAACTGCAGGCCAGACATCCCGCCCAAAGGACATGTCACCGGTCGCAGCAAAATCCCTGTACACCTGGAGCACAAACTTTGGGTTGAGATCCTTCCATTTACTGGTGTCATGTATGTTGTAGGCATTCATCTCATTCCATGGGTCATGTGTTCCTAAATCATGGGGAACTGCACCTTTGACTTTACGAATTCCCCAGCTCCCATCAGCCAGAAATTTGACTTTCCTTCTGTCCTCATGCAAGACAGCCCTAGCAAAATCACGTTGAATAGTCAACTCTATTTTCGGAAAGAGATCGAGGAGAGCGAAAGATGCATAGAAGTGTACATCATATGTACACCACATAATGTACTCCACTCCTTCCAAGTACAAAAATCTTCCGACATTTTCAGGGTCATCCTGCTGATGCATGACATAACCAGACTCTTTATATTCACAGCCACGCACGCTGTCACCATCTGCCAAATCTGGTACTGAAGTAGTTCGTGATAAAGTTTTCTCATTGCTCAAGTTGCTGTCTGTTAAAGTCTGCTCCGCAACCATATTAATGTGTCTATCTTTTGAAACAGGTTTCTGATCTTTACTTTTCACAGATTTATGGTGACTGGAACCAGAGCTCAATTTCTCCTCAAACTTTGGAGCTTCACCATCTGCATTGATAAAATTACCAGGGTATAACTGCCTTGACCATGCATGGCAACCTTTTAAAGTTTTATACCTAACCAACATGTTCGGTTTCCAAGCATCAACATGGAACACTATGAAATCATACTAAAAATGTATGCATTTTTTTGTGATTGACAAATGCTTGCTTTTACATATACTACAACCACCAAACCTCTAACTCATAGAGGACAAACAAAGCTGAAATATTCTCTATTAAATGAATTTAATATGGTGGCTAAGAAACAAAAGAATGAAAACAAACAAAGAATACCTGTCCAAACTGTTCCCCCAGCAACTAGAAAATAGAGCTCATTAAAAAGTGTGAACTTGTACCTGAAAATGTTAATCAAGATGTCAACAAGATGTGGTTTATAACGAAAAGCATTACATGTATAAGAAACAAAGAATGGGATGATTGAAGTCAGTAGGTTCTATAACGTATGTTACAAGAATTATGCTATACTTGTGTTCTGTTAGTCATGTATTGGATTTTCACATATTATGCTATTCTTGATCTAAAGATATAAATATTACCATTCAGGAAGCTTTTCATCTTTAAGTATTGGATTTTGCCATTTTTCAATCTCTTCTTCCCACCACTTGTACTCTGTTAAGTCACGGAAAAGGTTATCACAGTGAACTTACTAAACCAGAAGATATACTTGGCCAAATGAAGTATAGAGATATAAAACACAGGTACATTCTAGCAAAAACATGCAGCAGCAACTTGTTGCCGAATGTAATATGAAATTTCTAGTAATTAAAATATCTCAGTAATTGTCATGTACATACTCTTTAATGCATCATGCACCAAATTAAGAGCTGATCTTTCAGAAGTACCATAAAATTTTGTATATCTCCTGCAGGAAAAAACAAGTGCATAAATAAAACTCACTAGACCTCAGACAAGCTGATTCAAAACCAAAGAATCAAAGACTGGCAGTGTTTTTGAATGATATGCATAGATAGCAGTTAATAGAAACAATTTGATAACAAGAAAATAAGGACCACGCACATAAGTTCTTCCAGTCAAGGAGTTTCAGATGGTTGCTACCTTGTTTTAAAAGCTAGAATTGTGTCTGCCAAGTTAAACTTCCATTAAACATAGCGGTGGGCTACTCCTAGAAATGATGAACTTGGGGATGTTTTAACAACCCAGATACATCCTTGAAAATCAATATAATATTTAATTGGTAATTTATAAAACTCTAGATTGGATTGACTTAGGCGTCAGTGAAAAGATGGTGTCTAATTAAGGAGATTGTGCAATAAAAAGTACAACGAACTAGGGTTCTTCGTTTTGCCGGGGCCAATACAAAATAAACGTTACCTAGCAGTCTAATATGTTTTGGGCAGTCCGATCCAATTCAATAGAATTTTTTTTAAAATAAAAACTTAAAACTTCAATTAGGGCTCGTGAGCCTTCTTCCTGCTGGGGGGCATGAACCGATGCCATCGTCCCTATTGTTCGCCAACACCTACCTCCCTGGTAGGCTTCCTTCTCTTCTCCACCGCTTTCTTTTATTCCTTTTGCTTCCTCCTTCTCTTCTTTCATTGCCGCCTCTTCTTCTTATTCCTTTTTCTTCTTCCTTCCTCTTCCTCTAATTCCTTCCCCTGTGCCTTCCTCTTCTCCTTCTTCGTCTTCGAAACATTGGCATGTATCAGTGTACCACATGTCAATACATCAGTATTGACTAGTGTGCTAGTTCGACTAGTTGCTAGTTTCGCCTAAGTCATGCAGAACCCTTGCATGTCCGTCCGCAAAAAATCAGCCTCTCCGAAACCTCCTAGGGTCCCATAAGGACCTGCAAAAGAGAAGACGGCTTAGAGAAAACATTTAACTTGAGATCCCACAAACAGACATTTCAGCAAACACTTGATAAACAATACAAATTACAAACATAGACTTCGCAAGCTCTGAATGGTCACGCAACAAAGGATCCAAGATGGTCCGTCGTGGCCAAAAGTCCCCACAAGTGCCCACATGATATTGCTATAGAACTAGGCAACAAACCAGCCCTAGACGATACCCGAAAGGACCATCCAGCCATGTGGCATCCGGGTAGCTCCAGAGTGTTGTACTGGCCGACATTGCACACCACTCTGCAGAGCTAAAAAACCCCTCAAAATGGCTACCTAGATGGCTTGTTTTTGGATAGTTTTGCTTCCATGCGACGACTGCACACAACTTGCTTTTACAGGACTAAACGACCACAAAAGCCAACCAAAATGGGGCTATCAAGCCTACTGTAAGCTCTTTACATGCTGTACAAAGCATGAACAAAACCGAAAGACAGGGGCATACACAAGCATTACATCAAACACCCTTTGTATAGATTTGTTTGTGGCATTCTCCCCCACTTATTTTTTCTATGTCT